GGCGCTGCCCCCGGGCCCGGCCCGCCCGCCCGGGGCCGGTGAACTCGGTAAAGCCGCGGACCCAGCACGCAGCTCAGCAGCTTCGCCATGACAGCCCCGCCGGAAGTGCCGCCGCTTCCGGGAAACGCAGCTTCCGGGGCGGGGACAAGGGCGGGGAGGGGACGGGGAAGCTCCGCCCACTTGGTGTTGCCATGGGAACGGGGGGTGGGGCAAGATGGCGGCGTTGCCATGGGAACAGGGGGTGGGACAAGATGGCGGCGTTGTCATGGGAACGGGGGTGGGACAAGATGGCGGCGTTGCCATGGGAACGGGGGTGGGACAAGATGGCGGCGTTGCCATGGGAACGGGCAAAACCCGGCGGCGTTGCCATGGAAACGGGGGTGGGACAAGATGGCGGCGTTATCATGGCAACAAAGGCGGGCAAAAAGAAAAATGGCGGCGTTGCCATGGAAACGGGGGCGGGGCCGCGCGGAGGCGCGAAAAGGCCTCGAAATGCCCCAAAATCGCCTCGAAATGCCCCAAAAGCGGTTGAAAACGTTCCAAAATTGCCTCAAAATGCTCCAAAATCGCCTTGAAATGCCCCAAAATCGCCTCAAAATGCCCCAAAATCGGCTGGATTTGCCTCAAAACCCGGTGGAAGTGCCCCAAAATCGCCTCGAATTGCCCCGAAAGCGGCTGGAATTGCCCCAAAATACAGCGGAACTGCCCGAAATCCTTCAAAACCCCTCAGATAATCCCAAATGTGTCCCAAACGGCCTCAAAACCCCCCTAAAAACGCCTGAAAATGATTGAAACTGCTCTAAATCCGTCCAAAATGACCCCCAAATGGCCTCAGGGGCCTCCAAAAGGCCCGAATTGTCCCCAAAATGCTCAAGTTGGCCCCAAATGCCCCAAACCCCACCCAAAATAACCCAAAATTGCCCCAAACCAACTCAAATAATACAAAACCAACCCAAAACCCCCCAAAATCTCCCAAAGTCCCCCAAAATCTCCCAAATTCCCCCCCATAAATCCCCCCCAATGCCCCAAATTCCCCCCAAATTCACCAAAACGTTTCAGCCCAAATCTCTTTATGGGGGTGTGGGGGGTTTTTGGGGTCGGGTTTTTTTGGGGTGATTTTTTGGGGTGATTTTGGGGATTTTTTGGGGTGATTTTGGGGGTTTTTGGGGTCTCTCAGCGGATGGTTTTGACCGGGCTCTTGAAGTTGCTGGCGGCCTGGAGCTGCAGCTGATAGGCCATGGGGTGGATCTTGAACCCGTACAGCCTGCGGGGAAAAATATGGGATTTGGGTTAAAAAATGGGGATTTGGGGTTAAAAAATGGGGATTTGGGGAAAAAAAATGGGGATTTGGGGAAAATTCGGGATAGCGGGAAAAAAAACGGGGTTTTGGAGAAAAGAAACGGGGGATTTTGGGTTAAAAATGGGGGGATTTGGGGGAAAATTCCCATTTTTCCAATCCCTGAGCCCATTTCCACCCCGTTTCTTTCCCCTTTTTTCAGGTTATTTCCCCAATCCCTGGGCCCATTTTCACCCCATTTTTTCCCCATTTTCAGGTTTTTTCACCCCAAAGCTCTGACCTGGGTACGAACGGGTTTGCTGTGTTTTTAGGGTTACTTTCCCCATTTTCACCCCATTTTTTCCCCTTTTTTTGGGGTTTTTTTTGGGTTGTTTTTTTTGAGTCCTGGGCCTATTTTGACGGGGTTTTTTCCCCATTTTTGGGGTTTTTCACCCCAAATCTCTCACCTGGGCACGAACTGGTTGGCGGGGCGCTTGGGCCGGTACTCGGGGTGCACCCCCCATTTTCACCCCGTTTTTCCCCATTTTCACTGGGTTTTTTCAGGGTTATTTCCCCATATTTGGGCCCATTTTTTTGAGGTTTTTTTCCCATTTTGGGTTTTTTTTTCCCCATTTTTGGGTTTTTTACCTGGGCACGAACTGGTTGGCGGGGCGCTTGGGCCGGTACTCGGGGTGCACCCCCATTTTCACCCCGTTTTTCCCCATTTTCACCGGGTTTTTTTAGGGTTATTTTCCCCATATCTCGGCCCATTTTGACGGGGTTTTTTTCCCCATTTTTGGGGTTTTTCACCCCAAATCCCCCACCTGGGCACGAACTGGTTGGCGGGGCGCTTGGGCCGGTACTCGGGGTGCACCCCCATTTTTTTAGGGTTATTTTCCCCATATTTGGGCCCATTTTTTCGGGTTTTTTTTTAGGGTTATTTCCCCATACCTGGGCCCATTTTGACGGGGTTTTTTTCCCCATTTTGGGGTTTTTTACCTGGGCACGAACTGGTTGGCGGGGCGCTTGGGCCGGTACTCGGGGTGCACCATGAACAGCATGTGAGGGAACCCCGTCCCAAAGTAGGCTCCGTCCGTGTGGTGGTGCCGCGACGATTTCGGGGTGTAAACGTCCATGCACTTGGGGCAGTAGAGCTTGACCATGGCCTCGCCGGGGATGTCCGACAGCCCTGGGGGAGAGAGAGAGAGACCCCTCCTCAAATTAGTGATGGGGTAAAAAGAGAGAGAGACCCCTCCTCAAATTAGTGATGGGGTAAAAAGAGAGAGAGACCCCTCCTCAAATTAGTGATGGGGTAAAAAGAGAGAGAGAGACCCCTCCTCAAATTAGTGATGGGGTAAAAACAGCCCTGGGGGGCAGAGAGAGAGAGACCCCTCCTCAAATTAACTGTGCACAGTAACGGCCCAAAAACAGCCCCGGGGAAGAGACCCCTCCTCAAATTATCTGTGCTCAGTAATCCCCTGAAAACAGCCCCCAGCCCCAAAAGGATCCCAAATAATCCCCTAAAAACAGCCCTGGGGAGAGACACCCCTCCTCAAATTAGTGATGGGCTAAAAACGGCCTGAAAACAGTCTAAAAACAGCCCTGGGGGAGAGAGAGAGACTCCTCCTCAAATTATCTGTGTTCAATTAAAACAGCCCCAAAAACAGCCCTGGGGAGAGAGAGACCCCTCCTCAAATTATCTGTGTTCAATAAAAACAGCCCAAAAACAGCCCTGGAGAGAGAGACCCCTCCTCAAATTAGTGATGGGCTAAAAACAGCCTAAAAACAGCCTAAAAACAGCCCTGGGGAGAGAGACCCCTCCTCAAATTAGTGATGGTCTAAAAATGGCCCTGGGGAGAGAGAGACCCCTCCTCAAATTAGTGATGGGTTAAAAAGAGAGAGAGACCCCTCCTCAAATTAGTGATGGGCTAAAAACAGCCTGAAAACGGTCTAAAAACAGCCCTGGGGGGAGAGAGAGAGAGAGACCCCTCCTTAAATTATCTGTGCTCAGTAACGGCCCAAAAACAGCCTAAAAACAGCCCTGGGGAGAGAGACCCCTCCTCAAATAATCTGTGTTCAGTAAAAACAGCCCAAAAACAGCCCAAAACCAGCCCCAAAACCAGCCCCAAAACAGCCCAAAAACAGCCACAAAAACAGCCCCAAAACAGCCCCAAAACAGCCCCAAAAACAGCCCCAAAAACAGCCCCAAAACAGCCCAAAAACAGCCCAAAAACAGCCCCAAAACAGCCCAAAAACAGCCCAAAACCAGCCCAAAAACAGCCCCAAAAACAGCCCAAAAACAGCCCCAAAACAGCCCCAAAACAGCCCCAAAACAGCCCAAAAACAGCCTAAAAACGCCCTGAGGTAAGAGAGAGACCCCTCCTCAAATTATCTGTGTTCAATTAAAACAGCCCAAAAACAGCCCTGGGGGGCAGAGAGAGAGAGACCCCTCCTCAAATTATCTGTACTCAGTAAAAACAGCCCAAAAACGGCCCCAAAACAGCCCAAAAACAGCCCTGGGGAGAGACCCCTCCTCAAATTAATGATGGGCTAAAAACGGCCTGAAAACAGCCCTGGGGGGAGACCCCTCCTCAAATCATCTGTGCTCAGTAATCCCCTAAAAACAGCCCCCACCCCTGAAAGGATCCTAAATAATCCCCTAAAAACAGCCCTGGGGGGACAGACCCCTCCTCAAATCACCTGTGCTCAATAACGGCCTGAAAAGAGCCCCCAGCCCTAAAAAGATCCCAAATAATCCCCTGAAACCAGCCCCAATCCTAAAATAAACCCATCCCAAATAACCCCACCCCAAAACAAACCCAACCCAAAATAAACCCATCCCAAATAACCCCCCCAACGATGGGCAGCATGGGCTGGTTCTCACAGTACACCCGGGGGCAGAGCCCCCCCAAATCCCCCCCAGACCCCTCCCCAGTATCCCCAGTGCCCCCAGTACCGATGGGCAGCATGGGCTGGTTCTCACAGTACACCCGGGGGCAGTACCCGAAATCTCCCTGCTGGTATTTCTCCAACTGTGGGGACACAGAGCGGGGGGTCAGGGGGGGTCCTGGGGGGGTCCCAGGGGGTC